CACTATCGATCTCACCATCGATAACACTTTTTGGAACACCACGGAACACTACGGGACACCTCGGGGCACCACATCGATCTCAGTACCGATCTCACTATCGATCTCACTGTAGATCTCACTCAACGGGACACCACGGGACTCCTGTCGACCTCACTATCGATCTCACTATCGATCTCACTATTTGGGGCACCACGGGACACCACGGGATACCACGGGACACCTCGGGGCACCTCTCGATCTCAGTATCGATCTCACTATCGTTCTCACTATCGATCTCACTATCGATCTCACTCAACGGGACACCACGGGACACCACGGGACGCCACGGGACACCACGGGACACCGCGGGACACCTCTCGATCTCACTATCCGTCTGTCGATCTCACTATCGATCTCACTCAACGGGACACCATAGGACACCACGCGACACCACGGGACACCTCGGGACACCACATCGATCTCACTATCGATCGCACCATCGATGTCACTCTCGATCTCACTCAGCGGGACACCACGGTGGACACCACGGGATACCTGTCGATCTCACTATCGATCTCACCATCGATAACACTTTTTGGAACACCACGCGACACTACGGGACACCTCGGGGCACCACATCGATCTCAATACCGATCTCACTATCGATCTCACTGTAGATCTCATTCAACGGGACACCACGGGACTCCTGTCGACCTCACTATCGATCTCACTATCGATCTCACTATTTGGGGTACCACGGGACACCACGGGATACCACGGGACACCTCGGGGCACCTCTCGATCTCAGTATCGATCTCACTACCGATCTCACTATCGATCTCACTATCGATCTCACTCAACGGGACACCACGGGACACCACGGGACGCCACGGGACACCACGGGACACCGCGGGACACCGCGAGCCACCGCTGGACGGACGGACGGACGTGCGGGCGGGGGAGAATCGTTTGTTTTGACTTCGCCCTAGCAACGGCGGACACCACGGGACACCACGGGACGCCACGGGACACCGCGGGACACCGCGGGACACCGCGAGCCACCGCCGGACGGGCGGGCGGGCGGGGGAGAATCATTGGTGTCGACTTCGCCCTAGCAACGGCGGGTTCATTCCTCTCGCGCGCACACGCAGCTTCGCCTCGCCCGCACGCACGACACGAAAGAAACGAAACGATTTCCTGGTTGGGGGTCTCCTTTCCACTCCGATCTCACCCCCCAACCTCCGATTTTCCTGTGAATCGACGATTACGTGTGTCTTTGTGTTTTTTCCTTCAAGAGTCCTCGCACTCATGCTGACCAACACCCTTTCCCTGTCGTGCGCCAGGGACAACCACGGGTAAACCCTACCCCTGCAAGCCAGGAGTTCTGAGGCACCAGCGGGGAGGTCAGAAATGGAAGGATGCCTGCAACAAGGTGGTCCACAGATGGGCTGCCCGATACCTGCGTCGATTGGATTTGCACAAGGGCAAGTCACATGTCCCAGAAATCGGACGCCAGGATTTAAAGTTCTGGGCCCCTTCCCAGGGCCAAGCCTTTTATCCAAAATTACCTAACAGCGTTTGCTGATAGGTTTCTAGTAGGCTCAAAAGACAGCATCATGACTCCTCAGGGGGGTCTGGGCGGGTGCCGGGGAGGAGGGCCGGGAACAGAGCCGGGCTCGTTTTAAGCCAACAGTCACACACTTCGTGCTCTTCGACCTCCCAGAACTCCACTCCCGGGCCACATTTTGAATAACCGGAGCCAACTGTAGGCCACTTCGTGCTCTTCGACTTCCCAGAACTCCATTCCCGGGCCACATTTTGGATGCCCGGAGCCAACTGTAGGCCACTTCGTGCTCTTCGACTTCCCAGAACTCCATTCCCGGGCCACATTTTGGATGCCCGGAGCCAACTGTAGGCCACTTCGTGCTCTTCGAGTTCCCAGAACTCCATTCCCGGGCCACATTTTGAATGCCCGGAGCCAACTGTAGGCCACTTCGTGTCTTCGAGTTCCCAGAACTCCATTCCTGGGCATGATTTTGAATGCCCGGAGCCAACTGGAGGCCACTTCGTGTTCTTCGTGTTCCCAGAATTCCATTCCCGGGCCGCATTTTGAATGCTGAGACAGGCTGAGGCTGAGGCTGAAGCAGGCTGAGGCTGAGGCAGGCTGAGGCTGAGGCCGAGGCTGAAGGCAGACTGAGGCTGAGGATGAAGCAGGCTGAGGCTGAGGCTGAGGCAGGCTGAGGCTGAGGCAGGCTGATGCTGAGGCAGGCTGAGGCTGAGGCTGAGGCTGAGGCAGGCTGAGGCTGAGGCAGGCTGAGGCTGAGGCCTGAGGCTGAGGCTGAGAGGCTGAGGCTGAGGCTGAGGCTGAGGCTGAGGCTGAGGCTGAGGCTGATGCAGGCTGAGGCAGGCTGAGGCTGAGGCTGAGGCTGAGGCTGAGGCAGGCTGAGGCTGAGGCTGAGGCTGACAGGCTGAGGCTGAGGCTGATGCAGGCTGAGGCTGAGGCAGGCTGAGGCTGAGGCCGAGGCTGAAGGCAGACTGAGGCTGAGGCTGAAGCAGGCTGAGGCTGAGGCTGAGGCAGGCTGAGGCTGAGGCTGAGGCAGGCTGATGCTGAGGCAGGCTGAGGCTGAGGCTGAGGCTGATGCAGGCTGAGGCTGAGGCAGGCTGAGGCTGAGGCCGAGGCTGAAGGCAGACTGATGCTGAGGCTGAAGCAGGCTGAGGCTGAGGCTGAGGCAGGCTGAGGCTGAGGCAGGCTGAGGCTGAGGCTGAGGCAGGCTGAGGCTGAGGCTGTGACTGCGACTGCCGTTGCCACTGCGACTGTCATCGCGAATGCGACTACGACTGCGAGAACAGCAGAATTCTACAACTGGATTCTCATCCGAATCTTAAGGGGAATGCTTCCAGATATGCTCCTACACATCGCTGTTAGGTTGCTTTGCCGGGATAATGATGTTTTGATGACGCTCGCTGGGTCCAGCGGAAGCCTCCGAGGCGGGAAATAACAACCAAAGTCCCGTCGTGATCCTTCCGCAATCAGAGGCGTTCGGGGGCGCTTCGGGTCGGTCGAATCTGCCGACCCTGATGGCGCTTGTGCGTCGCCGTCGCCACTCTCCCCCATTCCCTGGGACGTTCTCCGTAAGCGACCTAGCTACATGAAAATCGAACGATGTCGCAATCGAGTTAAGGGAAACC